CTGGCCGGGCGTACGGGCGAAGCCACTCCTCTGCGCGCCGCAACCCCACCTCGAGCAGGAACGCAGCCGGAACCCCGCTCCCCAAGGGTTCGCATGGGGCGGGGGAGGGACAGGGCTCCTGGGTGACTTCCCGACGCAGCAGGTCCTGCCCCACGGAGCAGCAGGTTGGGGGGAAGATGGTGACCCCGTGTGAGCTGAATAATTACGGCTAAAAAAAGAGTTGGTCACGGTCCCGGTGCCGGATGGAATAGTTAATCCCTGTGAAAGCTCCTGCTTTCCCTTGCACGGCCGCGAAGCAGTTACTGGGGCTACAGGGCAGGGAGCTGCCGGGCAGCGCGCGCCGCTGACTCACGCTAACGTGGCTGGCAGGGATCAGCCCCGCGAGCAGTTTACGAGGGCTCAGGGAACACAATTTCCACGCCGCGGCAGAGCAAACTCCAGCTCGGAAGTGCCCTTGCTCTCCTTCGTTATCCGGTACCCGCAACGCACACGTGGAAGGGAAACGGGGGTCTTCCTCAACGTGGCTGCACCCCTGTCCCTGGGGCGAGAAACCCCCACGGCAAAGCACGCGGAAAACTTTAAAGCAACCTTTATTGAACGAGCACCAGGAAGACAGCGGGAGGGCGGCGGGGGAGGCGATGCAGCCCGGCGTCGGTGCCCCGCGCTCACTTCTTGCGCGGCATCTTCTCGGGGTAGTCCTGGAAGAAGTCGTTGCACATCATGGACATGCAGGCCAGGAAGGTCGCGTACTCTTGGAAATCCACCTCGTTGTCGCTGTTGTAGTCCAGGCTGTTCATGAGCTGCTGTAAACTGGTCTCACTGGTTTGTCCCTGCCCAGGGGAAAGAGCCGGTTAAAACAGGGGTTTGCATCAGTCCCGGAGTCCCAGCAGCACCCACGGGACATGGCACCCCCCCTGCCCCACACTTACGCTGAAGCTGGGCAGCTCCGCTGTGAGCATCTCCCTGAGCTCCTGCCTGTTGAGCTTGTACTTGTCCCCCTCCTTCCCCGAGTACTTGTGGAAGGTGGCGACCATCACTGCCAGCGCCTGCTCCAGTGGAGATGCCATGGCAGATGCCAGCCTGCCTGGAGGCACCGAGAGCACGAGCAGGTGAGGGCAGAGTTCGGCATCCCCGGGGACCCCCACGCCAAGGGGCCAACGGTCTCCCCCGGTGCTCCAGCCCACGCAGGCTGCTCCGGTGTCCGGCCCCACGAATTCCTCCCTGTTTTCACCCTCCCACGAGCAGCCGGGCTGGGTGTTGGCATCCAGTACCGGTGCTGAGCAACCTCTCAAAAAGCCACGCCGATGGGGAA